AATAACCAAAAAAAAAAAAAAAAAAAATGCACTACCACTATAAGATAAACTAATCTAAATAGGGGAGGAGTGAGCATTGTGCTTTTGCCACATGTACAATCTATCTAGATTTCCACACTAAGAGATTTGTTATTTTACCTCCTCATCACGTTCTCCCATAAGCTCTAGCGCAGCCGAGTGCCTTCTCCTTAGCGCTTCAAGTTCTGCTCGTATGCCAGGTAGCATAGCAGCCTCTGCTCTTAACTTCTCACTCTGCGCGTCAAGAGAATCAATTCAAACGTGAAGTCAGCGCAAGTGACATCAAGCTCAATGGCATAAAGAGAATAGCATGTGAAGAATCAATACCAACCTGTGACGTTAACTTCACTAGCTCCTCAGCAAGAGAGTCACGGATAGATTCCAGCGATTTCTGGTCAAATATAAATGAAAATAGAGCTAAAGTTTGAACTATTGTGGGGCTTAAAAGATTGAATATATAATTTTCTTAATATTTGTACAATCCCTTCCCAGGAAAGGAGAATGAAATGCACTAAACTCTAATCTTAACTACCACATGTCCACAACACTGCCTAAATAGAATATGGGATAAAACACTTATGGTCCTTATATTTTTATGTTATTGAAGTAATAATTTTAGCCTTAAGTAACAATTTAATTCCTATAAATTAGAAGTTGTAACATTAAACTCAATCATGTTAAATCTTGTTAAGATTTAATGAGTTCCTGAAATATGTAGATCAATACACTATTTGAAGATCATATGTTTATAAAACTACCAGAACTAAGTCATTATATACTAAACTCAATTGTTCACATTGATGAAATTCTTCTAGTCGGTAGGAACTCAATAATACGAACTTCATACTATGGAGACTACAATTACATGTAGATTATAAAGACTCAATAGTTACGTATTTAATGGTACATGAACTAACAAAAATTTAGGAACAAAATTATTACTTCAATGAAAGTATTGAGACCAAAAGTCTTTTTTAAACCCTAGAAATGTAATATAAGGAATGCAGACAATGCAGTAAGTTAATATGTGCGAATTGAAGAGTTCCAAGGTATTAAAATGACAAACCAATCGAGAGACATAAGATGCAAGTTCTCCTTCCTTCTGACGGAGAGCAGCCTCAAAAGAACTAGGAGTCATGCTTTTCATATAGTATGGACTCATGGCTACGTCCCCAACAATTTTCCTATCAGATAAACTTTCAGATGAGCCTAAAGACGCTTGAAGAAAATAGCTTTCCTCCATGATTCCTAGGCTAGAAGAACTTGAGAGCTTACGTGCCAAGTCACCTGCACGAGTAATGGTATAAGGAAATACACCCTGAAAAATAATGTCATGCAAACAAAGAAGCATACCATTCTCAAAAGTCGAATTATGCCGTTTTATGGGGCTAGGATCAGCCACAGCAGTAGAATGGAGATGAGCTTTCCTCTCCAAATCTGATCTGGCAGTTTTCTCCTTTTCAATCTCCTGTCAGAGATTGAACAAAAGCAAAATTACCAAGTAATGAATAAAGGAGTTTAACACACAAATTATGCAGAAACTTCATGATAATTAAACTCCTGCTGCAACAGATGATCAAATGCCCCCACCCAGCCTAGCAAGTAAAACAGACAACTCTTATGCAAGCTAAATATTTTAAACACCAGAAATTTAGTTTTGATTGCTAGATAGTAGGTTAGAGAAAGGACATGATTTTATCACTGAAAATAAAGTGTTTGATACTGAAATCTGCAACAAGGACATGGCATCTTCAATTTGATTAATCAATACTTGAAATCCTCTTTCGAGTGGAAATGAGTAATAGAAAAATATTTTAGTCGAAAAAACTGAAAATAAGTAAAACACTTGAAAACATAAGCAAAGACATGGCATAAACATGACAAATAAAAAACATGAACTAAAATATATTTTTGGGAGAAAAAATTGTCCATGTAAACAAATTTTAACAATTAAACAGCTTATTTCTAGTCCAAGAAGTTTCTTAGGTTATGTAAACAAATTTTGGTTTGACATACACGTCAGGTCAAACTATGTTCAAGTGTGTTGCATGTTTGATTTATGCCCAAGGTGTGTTCACACCCCAGATGTGCACCAAACATAGGAACTTTCACTTATAGATGAGTCCGTACTTCCTAGGTTAAAGGGGTTATGAGTTCATATAAGAATCAGAACCTGCTGCAGCAGCTCTCTATGCCTAAGAGACTCTTGCAACTCTTCCTTGTGTTTCCTTCGAAGATCCCTGATTTCTTCATCAAGTTGGTTTGCACGACCCTCTTGAGTGTCAGCTTCCTCTTTTGCTGCAAGATATTCCTGCCTGATTTCAGCTGCTCGCTGTCTCTCCTTTTCGAGGGTTTTGCTTAATTGAGTTTGTTCTGCTCTAAGGCATGAGACCTGCAATACAATTCTGATGAAAGGTAATATTTGAAAGGCAAGGTGGATGATGAAAATCATTAGAAATAAGAACCTGCGCCTCGAGAACATTAATTCTAGATAAGGTTTGGGACAAGCGTTCATTTACAAATTGTTCTCTCTCTTCAGCAGCAGCAGCTTTGGCTTCTGCTTCCTGTGCATTCAATAAAAAATCAATAAAGACATGTCTATATGCTGGGAAAATGGTATATAGCACAGAATAAATCCCAAAACAACCTGAAGTCTAGAGTTAAGAGATCTTTCAACAGCACCCCACGCTTCTGCCCTTCTAGCAGTTGTTTCCTATCATGAACACGAGAGGTTAAGAGATAAGTCCAATAGCCTGAACTTGAAGTATAAAGATCAACATAAGATCTCCAAAGTCATTGTAAGATGTACTGACCTGCATTGCTTCAATCTGCCTTAAAAGTGGCCTTGTAGACTCTGGGACTTGAGTGATCAATTCCTCACATCGTCGCTCACTTGCCTGTAAAACAAGGATTGCTAAGATGTAAATAAAGGAAGATAACGAGATCATTTTCAAAATTTTCCCTTTATGTTTTCCAGTTCCCAGGTCCAGTTTAGTAGGAAGAACTAAAAGATGCACTGAATAGGAAATGCAACATACTTGGTAACGCTTTTGAAGGTCCTCGATGTCCCTACGAAGCATGTCTTCTCTAAAGACAGCCTGCAAAAAAAAAAATTAATGATAAAGTCATCTGACTGCAATTTCTTAATTTAGCTCACTTTCCTACAATGAAAACTTTTAGAAGAACAAAGAAGACCTGCTGCTCCTTTCTACTTAATGTTTGTCTTAATTCTTCAAGTGTCTGAACTAGCATTGTTTCACGCTCCTCAGCCTCCCTAAGACGACTTTCTAGCTCAGTTCTGGCTTCACTGTTTGCACGTGCCTCTGCTTGCGCTTCGGCCTCCTTGGCAACAGTTAAGGCAGTTGTATAGTACTCTTTCTGTGCTGCTAGTTCTGTTTGGTGCTTTTCTATTGTTTCTTGCAGCAACTTCTCTGTAGCAGTTTTGTCCCTCTTGATGCTATCTACTTTATTTTCTTCCACCTGAAATCAAAGTAGAAGATGCATAAAAAATGAAGTCCTTGCAAATGATAGGTGCAACAGACCATACATTCTGGAAAGATAAAATTCCAAATCAAACCTTCTGCGCCCCCACCATGATTCAATGAAAATATTCAAAAAACATACTACAGAAATATGATAGTGCAGGAACAAAGACGTTTTTAACATCATTCTTCATCGCAGGAAATCTAATCCAATGTCTTACATGAACCTGACAATTCAATTACCTGAAGCTTGGTAATTAATCCCTTCTTCTCTTCTTCAAGCTCTCTTATCTAGCCTCGAAAAACCAATTTAAATTAGTATTCGTCTGAGTAATATATATTTTTTTTTTTTTTCCAAAAATCTCAGTGAAAGTTACCCACCTGGGCCCTTAATTTCCTAATCTGAGATTCTTGAGCAGCCTGCTTCTTTGAAAGCTCCTCGCCTGGTTGGTAGACAAATAATTTCAATGGTTAATCAAATAGGAAGACAAACTGCCTAATAGGACACTCTAACATGCATAGGTGTAAATATTTCAAAACGAAAAGGACAGAGACTGAGCGAATGTGAGATGCAGACAGCAAATATTTTATTCCCCCACAATACCCACTGAAAAAAGAAAAGCAACTATAAAGTTGTCATTTCTGCAGAATTTTTTTTTTTGGATAAGGAAAATTTTCATTTCTGCAGAAATTAGAGGTAAGAAAATACCATTAGACATACATAAGAAAAGACTAAGAAGTTCCTCACCTTCTGCCATAACTTGATTAATTATTTCATCTTTTTCCTTCAAAAGAGCAGCCACATCACTCCTTCTACTTTGCTCCCTCCTAAGTGTATCCCTCTCCTTAGTAAGAGCATATACCTGTAATGTTGCTACCCAAAAGCATTAAAAATCACCCAAGAGAAATAAAATATGAATATAATTCACACTCGTTCACTTCTTTTTTTCCGAAACAGTTGCTAACTTTCTACGAGAAAGTGATTTAAGTAAATCATGTACCAACTAGAAAAACTCCATTGATGCTTGGTAGATCTCTAAACTTATGGTTATTAATGCCATCAATTGGGGTTCAAACTTCATAAATCAAGCCCATGGGAAAGAAATGTGTATGGGTGATGAAAACAAAAGGTTTTCAAAAATCTCAAGCTGTCTTAACTACTTTTAGTAAAATCAAGATTAAACTTCATACAGAAGATGTTGGACAAATAGTATAAAAAAGAAAAGACAAACCTTCTTTTCAAGAGTTGAGACTCTCTGATGGTATTCCTCTCGCAACGATTCAATTTCCGCATCACTCGATTTTTTCTGTTATAATAACAAGGAATGTAAGTAACATATATTTCATCTCTCTCTACGCAGGGGGGATTTGTAAAAGAAAATTGTACAGCATATATTACAGTTGGTAATTGAATGATGAGATGACAATAGATTGACCAAAGAATATTCACAAATGAAGACAAAAATGTCAGAGAAATAGGCATAGCCAAGCTTTCATAATGAAATTCAAATGAGTTTGTTTAAGTGAGTAAAATGAAGTGGCACGAATCAAAAAGGAAAACAGGTCAAAAGGCATAAATTAAGTGACCAGATTCAGTTGTTGAGATAGTTTTTCCATCCACACTTTCAAGAGGGAAAAAATGTCAGTAACATGATGTAGGGTTATTTGTAAATTAATTATTGAAACTAGTTGTTGTTTACAGTTAAACTAGCAGCTGACTAATTAGTTTGGTATCCGGATAGTTTACTTGTTAGTTCGTTATGAACTTCTGACTTAAGATAAGAAGCTACGAAGAGTGGTAAAGATGGACAGTCACGATTGCATAATATCAATTTATCTGTCTCATCATCGAAAGTTGCTTCCAATTGCTCGAAAATTCTAAGCTATATGGGGGGCTTGGAGGGTGAGCTAAAACAAGGGATCAAAAAGTTGAATAGTGAGAAGGCAAGTGCAGAAAATAATCAGAATAAGATTTGTGTTAGGTACAAGGTTATATGGATCAAATCTCAAGTTCATTCATTTGTATTTGCTTAGATAGCCCCTTAAGTAAGTGGCCTTCCTCTATCAACCACCACACCTAACTGCTCGAAAAAAGGATAACAAATTAAGATCTTAATTGATTAACATGAAAATATAAAGTACCTTTAATTCTTCAATCACAGTATTCAAATGCTCATTTTCATTCATCAATTTCGCTATATCATCAGCCTTTGCCTGCAGGAAATCAGATTAATGATTTCATAAGTGAGAAAAACTATAAGGAAAGGAACATCTCAAAAGACCACTTCTCAGGTAAGATGCCCTAGACAATCTAATCTCAATTATCTGCAGCTCAGTCAAATCTAGTCAATTTTCAATAGCAAGAATAACCATGTAAAAGAGCTTCAGGCTCAAAATGTATCTTTCTTGAGAGTTCAAAACCATGTAGGGTGGATAAATTCAAACCTCCGACCTGAGAGTATCTTTATCTACAAGGTTGTAGGTAATGTATTGCCACATGAAGTACCTGAGCTTGTCTTGCTGCACCTTGCAATGCTGTTTCCATCATTTTCATATCAGCCTTCACCTTCTCTAGTTCAAGCGCAGAATCTAAATGACTAGGTATATTTTCCTCTGAGCTCAAACCTTGCCTTTTGGTTTCTGTCTCACTATCTTTAGGTTGCTGCTCCGTTTCATTTGCTTTAATTGTTAGATCACTTACATTAGAATCTGAACTAGAAATTCGCGGAGAAGCGTCCTCAAAGAATGGGGCACTTGACAATTCCCGAGGGCCTTCTTTTACCTCAGTGCTACCAGAATTTACGCTAGAAGTTTCACTACCACCTTCACCCTGGTTATCATCAAATGACTCAACTTCAACCTGTGGAATCAGTTTTAAGGGCTCCTTTACTTCTGATTTTAATTTATCGGTGCTCTCTACCTCAACCATTGGTTCATTTGTCCTATCTGCTAGCAATATTACATCAGAAGAACTCTGAGATTCAACCGACAGCTCATTACTTCCTTCATCTTGATATACATCCGTTCCCCCTAACTTGGCACCATTCTCTGGATGTTCGGAAGTTTCCACTTCTAAAATCTCTTTCTGCTGTAGATTGTGAATGGAGTCTGAAATTTCAGCAGTGGGTTCAGGACTTTCAACAGACATTCTTGGTGATTCATGATTGGCTTCAGCAGAAGATTCCAATACTTCATGGTTCTGGACAGAAGATCCAAGAACTTCAATAGGCGTGACTGGTGATTCAGACTCTGCTTCTCCTTGGCTTTCCTGTTGTACGTCTGACCTTTCGTCATCTTTTTCTGTGGGAACTTCAACATCATTTTCAGAAATTGGTTCCTTTAAAGGAGAAGGAACTGACTGCTCACTTTCAATGCCTTCCTTTTCATTCAAATCATGTTGAAGCTGTGAAGAGTCCTGTTTTTCTGATGACTCCGTAACTTCAGGGGGGCTTGGTGAAGATGGCAGTTCCTGTTTCTCTGATGACTCCCCAATTAATGCCCTGACTGGATCGAAGATTGTTTTCCCTTCAGAAGCTGATTGCCAGAATCCAGGAGCTACAAGGATAAAAAGAGAACATGAAAAACTATAGGCTAAAGAACTGGCAATGATAGTAAAGACATTGACCAGCTCCTGAATTTCAAGAATCGTGGATTAATTAATGATGGCAGAGCAAGAACAACTAGGAACACACAACCATAGAAAAAAATTAACTTCGATTCATGGAAGTTAGATTTATCAACCAACTTTTCTAATTTACCATTTTGTGCTTTATTCAAGGAAAATAGTGGCCTCAATAGTTCCAACTTTACAAGAAAAAGGATTTGGAACAAAACCCTCTTTGATTTTATTCAACACTAAGTTTTCTAGACGGTAGACTCCAGCACATATGAAATAGAAATTTTAATCACATTAGCCATTTCATAATAATCTGTCTCAGCAGAAAAATACCATTCCTGCATCGTTTGAGCTTTCCTACAGATTACACATTATAGAAAAAAATGTTCAACCAAATACCCAATGATAATTAGCAACAGAATAAAGAGTAATTACCATCACTGCTGGATTCCGGCTTCTCCTCAAACCCAAGAGCAGAATCAAAATTCTTCTCAATATTCTTCACGCTCTCTTGGAGCTTATTTACCGCACCAGCAAGATCCGCAAAGTTACCCAAAGAAACCCTCCCACTAAACCACGCCATTCAAGAACAAACGATAGATCCACAATTCAATCAGCTAATGCTTGCACATAAAGTCTCCAGCTAATACTGAAAAAAGAAATAAGAACAAAGAATTCAATCGACTGATAAAAGCTTCTCGAGCATTAAGAAAAAACTACGAAATCAACCAAATTTAGTGGGTAACAGTATTTGACAATTAGCAATATGATACGAGGGCGGATGGTTTCCCCAGTGAGCTACATTTTCGATGAACGCAACAATTCATTCATTCATTTTCCTCACACCAATGATGACATAATGCAAGAAACGAAAAATCAATACAAGAAAAGTGAAGTTGCAAGATCCACATAGAAACTGATCAGAAGGAGGAATAGGAAGAATTAAATTGGCATCCGAAGGCAAAGCTTATAAGAACCTCGTCATCGACCGCGATAGAGGATCCAATTGAGTATTGGTAGGAGCAGTGAATAGCAGAGGATCCCGGAATCACGTGATGGTTTTGCACAATTGAGCTGCGGACAATTTCGGCCGACAATTGGGTTTGAATACGAAATTTAGAATGGTGAAAGATCGCGACGGTGCGCAACACGAAACGGGGAGTTCGGCGTTGGTAGCGTGGCAGTGGGCGGATTCGTAACAGCGTAGGTGTGGTCAGATACACAGATCTGGTTCAGCGCCGTCGCCGTCGCGCGTTTCTCGCCGGAGAAGAGGCTATCGACGGCGCGTGGAGGTGGGCTTGGGGTTAAACGTTGGAGAGGAGGGAGAGGAACGAGATCGCGGGAGACAATGAAAGAAAGAGAAGGGAAAGGAAAGCAGAAGGAAGAACAAGAGAAATTGGACCCACCATTTTAATCAAGGGAAACAAATATTACATCAATTTCATCCCAATCACTTAAAATTATAAACTTCTCTCATTTTATACCTTCGCCTTGGTTTTATTTATTTTTTTTTTTTTCATATCACAATAATACCTCGCACTCCAACAGTAAAATCACTTATCTCGATAATCATTTAAAACAGTTATGTACGAACAATTATTTTAGTATGTAAGTGACAAATCTAAAACTCATATATCCTATTAGATAAGCTTGAAGGAATCTCAAATTGATTCAAATGGAAGGAAAAAGCACTATGGAAATGGTGGACAATTGCTCTCGAATTTAGAAGAAATCTGAGAATAGGAGACCCAAAATCTAAACGGCTATTACTTACGATTGGAAGCTTGACTAAACTCGATTCTTGTTCCGTTTATAGGTGAAGCTTAAAGCGAAATTGAAACCTCCAGAATCATCGTGATTTGAAGATTGAGTTTTTTGGATTATCCATCAGAAATATCATCTCCGATCATTGAGTTACCATCTTCTAATTTAAATTCATGTCGTTTGGATGTGGTGAGCTTTGTGTTCTCTAGAACATACTTAAATTTGGTAAAGATCCAACGGTTGTATTTGAAGATTCAAAGGATTTTCTAATCACTACTCACGGTCACATATTTGATTTTTTGATTTGTGGCATTTTTGTAAATATCTCGAAGTTCATGGGTGTTTTGGTAATTTGTCATTTTTTTTTTATATTTTATTTGTAAAGACCGGGCTGACTAGATGACTCTAAAAGACTGGGTAAATTTTTCGCGAAATAAAACAAAGGAATTTAAAACATTATATTTATAGTATATTAGAATAAAGTTTGTACATAAGTATTTAAAACACAACATACTGGTTGAAACACAAATAAGGGACGAACACAAAACATTTTAAGACAAAAGGGTTGAGGACGATGGGTGAGATTTGTTAAATAAAAGCCATGTTCTTTATTTTGTTAGGTTTCTCAAAACATCTGAATTCACGCAATGGGAGAGCATAATTATAGGGGCCATTCTTTGGCCTTTATAGGGGCCATTCTTTGGCCTTTGCGCTAAGTGTTCGTCCACTTTTCTATTTTTGTATAATTAGTTATTCTATTATTGTAATTACATTTGTTATTTAAACCATTTAAGTTGAGGAAAATAAAGTATCGAGCCATCGGTGTATATCATTGCGGAGGAGCCAATCTATCAAAAAAACAAGTTGAATAGCTCAAGTGGTTAGAGTATTGATCTAACAATACACAGGTCTCAGGTTTGAGTAGAAGAAAGTGCAAAATGTGAAAACACACACATCGTGGGGTCCATCTCGGGCAGGCTCACTCACTCCTCCACGCCGCCACCATGATGACGGGCGTCGAGTTATCATTGAGCGAAATGATCAGGGAGACAATGACGACTGTCGTTGTTAAAGGATCTTGTTGATACACGCGTCAACCTATGTGGGAAGAGAGACTCCTGAGCAGGAATTGCTAGAACAACGAGGAGGACGAGTCAACTCTCTTCATGGTAAGTGCATGCATGCGTTCCCATTTTCAATTCCAAATCCACGGAGATGGAGGCAATGGCGCTCGCCCTACTCCCCCCAACAGAACGGAGTGTGGTGGAGCGTCGAAATCGCGCAAGGAAAAAGGAGAAGTTGTGAAGTACAAGGCCCGTCTGGTGGCGAAGGGCTACGTCCAGAAGCAAGGAGTGAACTTCGAAGAGAAGGCCCGTCTGGTGGCGAAGGGCTACGTCCAGAAGCAAGGAGTGAACTTCGAAGAGGTATTTGCGCCAGTGGCAAGGTTAGAATCCGTTCGTTTCTTGCTGGAAATTGTGGCACATTACTCTTGGAAGGTTCACCATATGGACGTAAAGTTTGCGACTGATCGTGGGAGTGTACGTCGACTACCTCATAATTACTGGAGGCGACGTGGAAGTCCTTGGAAGGTTCAAGAAGGAGATGTCGAAGTCGACGACCTCATAATTACTGGAGTGCTGGAAATTGTGGCACATTACTCTTGAGAGGTTCACCATATGGACGTAAAGTCTGCGACTGATCGTGGGAGTGTACGTCGTTCACCATATGGACGTAAAGTCTGCGACTGATCGTGGGAGTGTACGTCGACTACCTCATAATTACTGGAGGCGACGTGGAAGTCCTTGGAAGGTTCAAGAAGGAGATGTTGAAGTCGATGACCTCATAATTACTGGAGGCGAAGTCCTTGGAAGGTTCAAGAAGGAGATGTCGAAAAACTTTGAGATGAGCGATCTCGGCGTGCTCAGCTACTATCTCGGCATCGAAGTGCAACAGAATTCTACCGACATCTCCATCTCTACCAAAGTGCATACACGAAGAAGCTGCTGGACACAACTGGGCTTGTGAACAGTAATCCTACAAGGACACCAATGGAGGGCCGACACTGCGATGATAGTCGACTCCACCATGGGCGGTGACGTTGATGATCGTAAGAGCACTAGCGGAATGATCTACTTTCTCTTAGGCGGCGCAATCTGCTAGCAATCAACAAAACAGAAGGTAGTTGCTTTGTCTTTCTGCGAAGCAGAATACATCGCCGCTTCGATGGCAGCAACACAAGGGATCTGGCTTGCGCAACTAATGGAAGAACTCATCGGGAGAGAAAGTGATCCACCAATGCTATACGTGGACAACAAAGCTACGATCTCCCTGATCAAAAATCCAGTTTTGCACGACCGGAGCAAGCACATAGAAATCAGATTCTACATCCGAACAGAGGAACAACTTGGAGACATTTTCACCAACTGCCTGACGCGGGTGAAATTTGAAGAACTACGCTCAAAGATCGGAGTTCAAATAATAAGGTACAGCTTTTAGGAGGAGAGGTTAAATAAAAGCAATGTTCCTTATTTAGTTAGGTTTCTCAAAACATCTAATTTAAAATAGCCTAATTCTAGGTGTCATTCTTTGGCCTTTGGGCGAAGTCTTCCTCCACTTTTCTATAATTAGTTTTTCTATTATTGTAATTAGATTTGTTATTTAAACCATTCATAGATTTGTTATTTAAACCATTCAACTGGAGGAAAATAAAGATATCGAGTCTTCAAAATCTTAGCAGATCTCTCTCCCTCTCTCCTTTTACTTCCGCTAATTTTTTCTTTCGAAAGAAACCTTCGGCCAATTTTTCGTCGACATTGTCCTCCGAATTGCCAGAGTCAACAAGGTTTGTCTATGGCACTTGCTCCAGAGTCTGCTCTCGACTGATCTCGACCAACTCCTTATCACCTAGAAAAAATGGAGAATAAGGAATGAGTACAAAGACTCCAGAAGTAGTATACTTGTAGGCTCTTAATCATGTCCTTGATATGCTTGGGTACCATATTCTTTGTCCGCTCTCGACCGATCTCGACCAACTCCTTATCACCTAGAAAAAATGGAGAATAAGGAATGAGTACAAAGACTCCGGAAGTAGTGTACTTGTAGGCTCTTAATCATGTCCTTGATATGCTTGGGTACCATATTCTTTGTTCGTTCTTGTTCTTGTTCTTGCTCTTGCTGTAAATACTTAGTGACTTATGGTTCTTTACTTGATCTATCCTGAGGACCTTGGTCCCTTGAGTTATTAAACCTTGGTTATCCTTTAAGGGCCTTAGTACCATGGTTCTTAGTTCTTAGTTCTTATTCTTAAAACTAGGATCTTGATCCATGTTCTGGACCCTGATCTTTCTCTTTTTCTTAGTACTTTCTTGGTTCTTGTTCTATTCTTGGTTCATTCTCCAAGATACTCCCCTTAGGATTTACAGCACTAGCCATGCACCTGACAATCCTGTGTCTTAGGCTTCATGCATTCCAAGTGACAGCCTTCTAAGTCATGAGCATGATGTACCGTGGGAGGTCTTAGGAGGTTCTTGATTCTTGGCTAAGGTAACTTACTCTCTTCTTGTTCTATTGTCGCCTTAGACTACTCCCCATGATTGACCATAAAGGTCACATGCTCGGTGCAGACATGAACATGGCATCCTGCAAATCTTTTGGGTACCCATAGCTTGCTGTAGGGCATCTATTCTGGGTGAGGGAAACTTGAGGCCAAACATTACATTCTGCAAAGGAAACATGGTGCAAGGCATCCCACTTAGAAGAAGAATTCTTGGGCCTCAAAAAGCACCGCTTGGTGGGAGGTCGAAACAAAGTTGGCTAAAAACTCATAACTTATCGTTCTTGAGGATGGACTGGTACTCCGACTTCTGGTCAATTTCGCCTTCATGTTTCTTCATAAAATCTAAAAAAAAAAAAAAAAAAAATGCTTCCTAACCCCGTTGAGACTAATTTCGTAACCTAAAACTCAAAGAAACTCACGGATCTAAAGGAAAACCGAGGCTAGAATCCCAAAACTTTTACCTCAAGACCTCCTCCATTTTCTTGACCGTTCTGTACGATTCAAAAGTTGAGGTTGAATATCCTCAAGGTAATGAGTATCTTTTGTGAAGAAACATTTACCGAAAAACATCTCCAAGTGGTCGGATCGGTTGGAACATTCTTTAAGTGTAAAAATCTCTTCCTACCAGACGTGTTATAAAATTGGGAGGTTGACGACAATACATGCAACTACTCAAGTCCACCGCTAGCAGATATTGTCCTCCGTAGAAATCTCTACCTTTCAGGCTTTCCTTCAAGATTTTTAAAATGCGTCTGCCATAGAGAGGTTTCCATACCCTTACAGAGAATGTTTCGTTCTCCTCTCCAACCGATATGGAATCTCACAATCTACCCCTCTTCGGGGTAGAGAGTTCTTGCTGGCACTCGTTCCCTTATCCAATCGATGTGGGACCTCATAATCCACTCCCTTCGATGCCTAGCATCCTTGATGGCACACCACCTCGTGTCCACCCCCTTTAGAGCTCGGCCTCCTCGCTGGCACATTGCTTGACGACTAGTTCTAATACCATTTGTAACAGTTCAAGTCCATCACTGGCCGATATTGTCCTCTTTGGGCTTTCCCTAAAAAATTTTAAAACGCATCAGCGGTGAGCTCTCACCAATCGATGTGGGATCTCACAATACAAACGATATTAAACAAGATTTATGGCTTAAAGGTTGCTTAAGGATTTGAGAATCAAGCAAAATACGGTCTAAGATTTATTGTGATAATCAGAGAATCAAGCAATATAATGATGTTCGATCCAAGCACACCAAAACGAATAACAGAAGTAGAATAAAATATACAAGCTAATTATTTAAAGAAATAAAATCACCAACAATTCTTCTCCTAGAGATGCTCTAAGGTTCATAACTTCTCTTAAATATACTCCACAATTACTATTTTTTCAATAGCTGACTATCACATTCTAGATTTTAACGTGATGCTTGATGTTCAATTTTGAACAATCGAGATTATTGACTCACAAGGAAATTTGATGAACTTGTTGTAGATGAGATTCGAAGGCGTGTGCGAAAGAAAGGAGAAAGGGACATGCGTAGGTAGGCCACGTGTTGCTACACGACTAGTTGGAAAATAAAAAGAAATACTAAGGCATGGTTCAAACCTAGGGTCAAGGGGGGTCGAGGGCACCCATCAGAGTGCATCACATGTCGCATTGCGAGTGTGAGTACCCCACACGATTTTAACGTGATGCTTGATGTTCAGTTTTGAACAATCGAAATTATTGACTCACAAGGTGAAATTAAAGTCATAAAAATAAAACCTGCAAACAACAGAAAAGAGAAATCGTGTACAACGAAAATACGTGTGGTTCTCTTGTCCAACAACATGGACCACATAAAAAGGACAATGGCTCACTTTTGTCTCTTACGTTTTTTTGGTGTTCATAATAAACGCGTAAATCAAACCTGATGGTCAATTACCCATCTAAAAAATGAGTACATAATCATTGACGTGTGACATACCTTTTAGTTAATATCATTAAAACATCGTTCTTACCTGCGGTCTCCCCAATTACAAATAAAAGTATCTTATGACATGATCACAATACTTACTCCTGACATATAAAAGTGAAAACTATTCCCACAATTCAACACGAGTTGTTTCAGGATGCTTTGTTCTTACCCACATATTTCTCAGGAAAATAGCCCGAAGATCACTTGATATACATGACTCAAAACAAAACAAGAAAAAAAAAAAAATTGAATACCTTATTTGTATAGATAACAACTCTCGATCTTTTTAAAGTCTTTTTTAATCAATCTATTTTGAAGATTTTGCCTAAATCCAAGAAATTGTACTCTTCAACGAACTGTTGTTCAATTTTACACAACTTCTCAACAAGAACATCAACAACTTGACTTCTATCATAAAAGCATACACTTTCTTTTTCTTAGTGCCCAAATTCAAATTCTCACCTATTCTATAATTTTAAGGTATAGATTATAAAAAATATTCCTAAACTTTTTGCATTTGTTTATTAAATACACTTATGCTTTTTAAAATTATAATATTACTCTTAACTATTTGTTTTTGGAGTAGATATTGAGTTAGAATGTTGTAAAAAAAAAAAAAAAAAACTTAGAACAATGTTGCCGTGATATAAGATAATAATCGAGACTCAAACCAACGATTATGTATTAATCACCATTAAAAAGGTTTCTCATACATTTTTAAAGCCACGTGGGTCACTATGATAGATACATGCTTAATGTTGTGTGGTTCATTGTGACAAGAACAAAAGAAAGCAGTAATGGACAAAGTAACGCTCATTAATATAGTGAATTTGACGCTTAGTTAACTTTGTTTTCCCTATCAACAATATTATTGTGGATGAAGTTGCCATTGATTCCAAAGAGAAAGAAGATAAAGATTATGATAAGATTAATTTTGAAAGACCTGCACTCCACTGCATTAGATGAAGCACAAATCTAACTTGAGACTAATGAAAAATAAAAAGAACAAATCAATATTGATAACTAATTCGTTTCTATTCCGAATATTATTTTTAAAAAATATAACAAAGAAGTATATATCATAGAGCTTCAGATGGCTTTGATCATGTCGTAAGTGGTTCTAATAAGAAATTGAAATAAAAATTAATCACGGCTCATAAATAAATATAACTAGTAGTAGCCGACTTTCTTGGTCTTGTTAATGGTTTCAGATGCACCGATGCCAGAGAGGAAGGATACAAAGATTATTACTAGGCTAGAGAACAAATGTCCGTCCTTTTTCTTTTAAAATAAAACCGCTACTATATGCATGCCATGACTTTTGTAGGTAGAAAAAAATGCAATTTGCTTTAAACATTGCCATAGACTTAAATGTTCATAAATTCATTAGAAATATAATAATAAAATAACATAAATGAAAAACCAAAACATTTATGTTCCGCTAGACGTTATGTAGACCCTTTCCCTCTATTGTATCCAGCAACCAGTTAGCGAGTGCTAGTCCGACAAGTTAGGCCTAGGGGTATAAGAGCCTGCTTGGTGGGCTCATGTGTGGGCTCATGTGTGCATGCGTAGGTTGTGTATAGAGAAGTACTATACATCCAACCTTCTTTGAACTAGAAAGCAGTCAAATGCATGCCATGATGTTTTAAAATGATGTGCTACCATATAGCACGTGTTTACATTTTCTAACTCCAATAATAGAGTTACTTACTAAGTATTTCTTACCGTACTCAAACATGCTACTCTTATTTTTTAAGTAAAAGTAAGACACTCGTGTACGAATGATGACATCTTAACGGAAGCTTTAGAATATTCATACTCATATTTTTTTTTAGTAGCCTTAAGTTACTCGGTATTGTTTATAAAAAGACTAAATTGTTTCAAGCACCGACAGAACCAGAAGCGTCCCTTGTTTAAATTTGAACTTCCACAAAAATTAATATTCTAAAACCATGACATGTGGCCATTCCCCGATAAGGTTTCTGCGTTGCAGAGTAGGGAGGATGAGAATTTTATGGATCATTGATGGGTGATAAATATCAATACACGTTTTTCTCCTTCTAATTATTTCAAAATTAGAATATTAATTTATAAAAGGAATTGGGAGAGATAATAACAATACACTTTTATGTTATAAAGCAATCGAGAGACACTTGTTTGCTCACAATATGACCATGGGTCTTCTCCATCATCCTCCTTTGTCCTCCTTCTCTACACTTACCTCTCCACGAAATTTTTCTTCTTATCGTAACTTTTACGAATCTTTCCAAATGAATAAGCGATCGACGGTCGATACAAAAGTTTATAGTACTTATGTTGTTCGGCGGTCTGCAAATTACAAACCTCCTATCTGGAAGCATGAGTTTGTTGAATCGTTAACGAGTGAATTCACGGTAATGTATCGATACAATTTATTTTGTATATTATGAATATGTTTTCTCGAATTATTTTTCACCTAAATCTACAACAAAGTCATTATTTAATTTCAGGGAGAGAAATGTTTAAATAGAAGAGATATGCTAAAAAGAAGAGTGAAAATGATGTTGAACAAAGAATTATTATTGGAGGGAGATAGTTTGAGACAATTGGAGCTAGTGGACGAACTACAACGGTTGGGGTTGTCATATCACTTCCAAATAGAAATAAATCAAATATTAGAGAATATGAATGAAAAGTTTCGAAATGGAAAGGATTTAGAGTGGAACAACAACTTATATGCCACCGCTCTTCATTTTAGGATTTTAAGGCAACACGGCTATTATATCCCACAAGGTAACCCAATTCTTTTTCAAATTCCATTTTGTTGATTTTTTTTTTTATTTTTTATTTTTATGTCATGTTCTCTCACATAATGTTTATCTTTGATTATATGTAGAGGTATTCGAGAAGTTTAATGATGAGTTAGAAAGTTCTAATAGTATTTCTGAAGAGAAAGTTAAGGGAATATTATCCTTATACGAAGCTTCATTTTTAGCAATCGATGGTGAAGGCTTTTTGGATGAAGCGAGACATTTTGCCATCCAACATTTATCAAAATATCTTAAATCGAGTGGTGATGAAATAATTTGTACTATGGTGAGGCATGCTCTCAAACTCCCACTTCACTGGAGAATGCCAAGATTGGAGGTTAGATGGTTCATCGATTTGTATCGAAGAAAACCCAAACCAAATCCCGTGTTGTTAGATTTGGCCACGTTAGACTTCAATATTGTCCAATCCACACATCAAGATGATCTGAAATATGCCTCTAGGTAATAAATTTAATTATCAATTTGAAAGGGTTATTTTAAAAGAAAATATAATCTACCCAGTATTTGAGAGAGAACTTTTAAGTTATATTTATACTATTTTTCACCTAATTCATTTTGTATTACTTTATTTGGTATATATGAAGGTGGTGGAAGAGTACTGAGCTCGGGCAAAAACTCGATTTTGCAAGAGATAGATTAATGACAAATTTCTTTTGGTCAGTGGGAATGGGATGCAAACCTCATCTCAGCTATCTTAGAAGAATGTCCACAAAAATTGCTTCATTAGTAACAATAATTGATGATGTTTATGACGTGCATGCAACTTTGAATGAACTTGAACTCTTCACCGATGCTGTCGAGAGGTAACATTTACCCATTAAATCGAACCAAATTAAACAAAAAAAACATGGAAAAAGTTTTACAAAACAAACCATTTGTGTTCAAGGTTGTCATAATTAATAAAAGAAGGTATTATTCAACAATGATTAATGATTATATGTTGATACTTTCAGATGGGATGTTGTTGCAATTGATTCATTGCCTAACTACATGAAGATATGTTTTTTTGCTCTCCATAACACCATCAACAATATGACCTTCGATGCTGTTAAGAATCATGGAGTCAATGTCATTCAATATTTAAGAAAAATGGTAAATATTTTTTCATTCCGTTTAATATTATGCTAATCGATTTTTTTTTTCGCTTAGATAATTTTATGAACCCTAACTCTTTCGACATTTAAAATGTTGTAGTGGATAGATTTATGCAAAACGTTCTTGATAGAGGCAAGATGGCACTACACCAATTATAAGCCAACATTCCAAGAGTATTTAGACAATGCATGGATTTCAGTATCGGGATCTCTTCTTCTCGTTCATGCTTACGTCTTTGCTACAGACTCAATAATGAAAGAGGATTTGGAATACTTGGAAGACTATCCTGATATTCTTCAACATTCATCCATAATCTTTCGTCTTACCAATGACTTAGCTTCATCATCGGTATTTCTTCTAAAATAAAATTCTTCCTACAATTAATTTCCAAATTTTCGAAAATGTGGACGAATAACACTAATTTTAAAAATTTTCTAATTCATAGGATGAAGCAGAGAGAGGTGAAGTTGCTAAGTCTCTCCAATGTTACATGAATGACACAGGTGCCTCTGAACATGAAGCACGAAGATATATGAAGGATTTGATTATCGAGTCGTGGAAGAAATTGAATGAAATTCAAATGTTGAATTATTCTCCATTCATCTCTAGAGATTTCATTGATATTGCTTTAAATGTCGCTAGAATTTCTCACACAGTCTACCAATATAGAGATGGACACACTGTGGAAGATGAAGAGACCAAGGATCGTGTCTCATCTTTATTCATCAATTCTACATAGAATCATACATATAGACAACAAATATTATATATTGTTTAATGATGGTTTATTTGGTGAATTTGTGAGAGAAAAAATAGCAATTTAAAAGTGTAACGTCCCGCTTCTAAAACATGATTATGTAACGTCGCGCGTCTAAAACATGATTAGATTATGACTGTTCTTACCTGCACATTACAAAAATCTTTTGAAGTGTAAAACCCGCCATTATTTTATATAAAACATGCTTGCAAAACAACAAAAGAATGATAAAAATTTATGTCGAAACAAAATTCTATTTGAAGTATCGAATGACTTTTGTAGCAAACATCTAGGAAGTGACTCTATTAGTGGAATTTAGAGATGCAATTTCACACACTCATAATGCACCCTAGGTAAGCAAACTAGAAAGTCTAAACAGGCTTCAAATTGTCTAGAACTCATTCATGCTGATTTATGTTTGCCAATTCAAACAAAATCTTTATGTATTGTTTTTTTACTATTTATTGATGACTATAGTTGCATGAGTTGAGTTTACTTCCTACTACATATTTCACAAATCTTGGAGAATTTATAAACTTTTAAAGCTACAATGAAGAATCAAAATGGCTTCCACATTAAAAATTTTCGCACAAATAAATGCGTGGAGTTCATGTCTAAAGAATTCGATTTGCTTTTATGTAGGAAAAAAACAACCAAAGGGAGTCAATATCTTCTTACACTCCAAAACAAAATGGTAAATCGCTGAATGAAATGGAACTGTTGTGGAGATGTCTAGAAATATCTTATAAGCAAAGGGACTTACAAACCAATTTCGGGTAGAAGCTTTAGCGATATGTATCTATCTATTAAATCGAACTCCTTATGAAACACAAAGGAAACCATCTATAAGTCATTTACAAGTCTTTGATTGTGTAGTTTATGCTTTGATAAATCCTCAAGTTTGTCGAACGTTTGATGAAAAATCTGAAAAATGTATTTTCTTTGGTTATTATACTCAATCAAAAGCATATAAATTGTATTACCCTCCTAATGAAAAGACTTTAGTTTGAAGGGTGTAATATTCGATGAAAAGGTAAGTTGCAATTGGAGTAAAGAACTAGAGCATCTAATCTAGATACAATAGTCAACACCTATGCATCTTCTAGTACCTCTAATACAACACAAAATTTTACAAATTTATCAACTTCATCCTCGCAAAAAAACAACTCTTCTCTTGAAGAATTTTCAAACAAGACACCATTATGGAGGTACAAAACTTTAACGAGCATATATGCATCTTGTAAATTTGCTATTAATGTTTCAAACCCTATAAATTATGAAAAAGCAACTAAAAAACAAGCCGTAGAAAACCATGATAACAGAGATGTAGACAATTGAGAAAGATGAAATATGAGAGATGATTGATTTACCAAATGAAAAAAATTGCAATTAACTTAAAAATGTGTTCCAGACAAAATTTGAACCAAATGTAAGTATAAAAAAGCACCCGACTTATCTTGTTGTTAAATAGTATGCCCAACAACAAGGTCTAGATTTTGAAGAAACTTTTTTTTTTCAATAGCTCACTTAGAAATTGTAAGAACTATTCGAGCATTAGCGGCAAAATTGCGGTGACCTCTTTATCTGTTTGATGTCAAGTTTGCATTTCTTAATGGAGATTTACCAGAAGAGATCTATGTAGCACAAACAGAGAATTCATAAAGAAAGACAAATAAACAAAAATATGCAAGTTGAGAAAGACATTATATGGATTAAAGCAAGCCCCTCGAGTTTGATGTAGTAAGATTGTTGGGTATTTTGAAGAAAAATGTTACAAGAAAAGTGAGAATGAATCTAGTTTGTATCTGAAGAGGAAAGGTAAAAGTGATTCATCATTATTTGCCTCTTTGTTGACGATATCATTTATTCTACCTCTTTTAACTCTCTTTTAGATAAATTACGTCTCAAATGGTGAGTAAATTTGAGATGTCAAATATGGGTTTAATTCGTTATTTTCTTAGTATTGAAATATATCAAGTTCAAGATGAAATTTTTATTTCCAAAAAGAAACTTGTCAAAAATATTATGAGTAAATTTAGTAGGCTTAATTTAAGCCTACAACTATACTCACAAATATTAATAAGAAAATTACAACATATTAATAAGAAAATTACAATATGAAGGTAGAGTACAAATGACAGATATTAAATGGGTTAGAAGCTTAGTCGGAGGATTGATTTACTTAATGCACAATACGATGTTGCATTTTCTATTGGTGTTATTTCCAAACTTAAATAATTGCCTCAAAAGTTGTTGTGGAGCCCAAAATGGGCCTTACTTTATGCCGCGAAAACCATGGAGTATGAAACTTGGTATTCTAAATTTTTTGATTTCAAATTAGGATAGTGATTGAGCAGGATCAGTGGATGGTAAATAAAGTATTTCAGCCAACGTTTTCACTCTAGGATCCGAAGCTATCACTTGGAGATCAAAAAAGTAAGCAACAGTGACGTTGTCAACTTTATAAGAAAAATATATTGCAACAAATCCAAAAGCATGTCAAGCCATTTGGTTAAAAAGAGTGTTAGTTGATCTACCACAAAAGCAACAAAGAGTAATAGAGATATTTTGGGGTAACAAAGGAACTATCTCGATGCCGAAGAACGGAACAAAACATATAAAATTTAGACATCCTTGTGATCTTGTTGCAAAAAAAAAAAAAAGAAATATTTTTAAATTACGTAACACCAACAGCTAGCGATACTTGACATCTGCACTTCATTTTCTGTTTATTTTCTGTCGCAATTTTAGTATTTTCTTGAGGGTTTAAAGCATTTCATTTCTGTACTCAGGTTTCTTTTAAGTTTCTTTTCACTGTCATGAGCGAAGTTCCCTTAACAACATTTGGCTGAAAAACATATTGTGTTTTAGCTATAACATAGTATCCTCTTATAATTATCTATTGCTTACTTTTATATTGCCAAGATTCAAAATCACAAATGTAAAATCTGTGTCAATCTCTTGCTTCTAGTTTTGTTCGTCGACAATGACGAACCCTAGAAAAAGGCACTCTCAAGCAACTAAGTGGATTCTAAGGTATCTAATTGCTTCCAAGTATGCTAGACAAACAAATTCAATCATCTTACGATGAATTATATGGTTATATGGATTCAGATTATTGAGAGTAGTCCCACGTTATTTGCTAATTAAGAGCAAAATCATGGTTTATAAGTAACGAACACCATTTCTATTGAGTTCTTTTGGAGAAACTAAAAGTAAAGTCATAATAGCTAATGCTCAAAGTGGAAATTATCATACTATTATGGAATTCGTGATTCTTAATATGGTATCAGAGTCATGTCCTTAATTTAGCCATGTCAATAGAATCCTCAAGTGTCGAACAAAAAAGTTGTGGGTCACGAGGTGTAGTTAAAGGTGACTCAAGCATCGAACAAATGGTATACTTTGTTCGAGGGTTCTAGAAAAGAAGTTGAACCTCAATTAAGGGGAGGTTATTCAAGAGCTCTAGAGAAGAAGGTATTAGGGGAAACTCTATGGTGTTCTTTGTTCTAGGATAGGATTGTTGCAGATTATTGAGGAAAGTAATCCTATATTGGCTAAGAGAAAGATCATGAATGTATAAATAACTAACAATATCTCCAATTGTATGAGGCCTTTTGGAGAAACAAAAAGTAAAATCTTGAGAGATTGTGCTCAAAGTGGATAATATCATACCATTGTGGAGGTTTGTGATTCTTCACAAATTTTTCAATGCATGACTACCACATTTCATGATTCCAATATGATATTTAATATTCGGTTTTAAACCAGTCGAGCTTCTTTACTCACATGGTAAAATTGAAGTCTTGAAAATAAAACGTTTAATTAAAACACAATATTATGCAAACAAGGAAGAAGAGAAATCGTGTACAACTATATGATAGAACAATAAATACATGTGTGGTTCTCTTGTCAAACAACGTGTACCACATAAAAAACACATTGGCTTTGCCTCCCAGCCTTTTTGGTGTTCATAATGAAGGTGTAAATCAAACCTCTGACCAATCTTCAAAAAAAAAAAAAGCACATAATCATTGATAGGTGATTATCAAACCTGATGGTAATAGAATGAGCTAGTCGTAGTTAACCTTGTTTATCCTATCAACAATATTATAATGGATGAAGGTGACAAGGATGTCAGAGAGGAAGAAGATAAAGATTAGACCTGCACTCAGCTGAATTAGATGAAGCTCAAATCCAACTTGAGACTAATGAGAAATAAAAAGAACAACAAACCAATATTGATGACTAATTCAAGAATGAAAGTACTCCATCCAAGAAATTTATAATGTAAATAATATTCGTTTCTACCTCGACTATTATTTCTTAAAAATATAACAAAAAAGTGTATATTATAGAACTTTCAGCATGTCGGTTCTAATGAGAAATTGAAATAAAAATTTAATGGATGGTTCGAATGGTCAACTAATTTAAGTTTTAAATTTAAATAGATAGGAATTAAAAGATTCTTCCAAATTTAATGTTTTTTTTTTTTTCTCCACTCAAAAAGTTGATGAGAACACACGTTTATTTCCTTTTGAAAAGCAATGGTTATGTATTGATGAATTCCTGAGTCTAGTTGTACCTTTTTGGAGTGGGTCACGCAGCAACACAGCTGGTTAAAATTTAATGAAATGGTACCCTTCAAAAGATTATTCTTCAACAAGAACATAATTTCTACTGTAAAAACAAACCCTTCTTTCTTTTACTAAAAAAAGTAAACAATCATCGTGTAACATTGATTGGAACCCGAAGGTCATTAACCAACTCTTCCAACTACAACTATTCGAGCATGCTGCCTTCAATGAAATGGTAGTAGCTCTATTGGATGTGCAACTTAAAACAGCTTTGGAGTCAGTAACTATTCGAGGATCATAGTGGCATATATCAATAGGAGGAGCAAGAACAATGGTAATAGTAGACATCAATCGGGAAGTAAAGGTGTAGGCTGCATTCGTGAAGGCCAACCTACTAATTACCACACATGATACTACGTTGTCT